ATGGCTCACTATTTTGTAAGATGAAGGCCATAGTATTTTGTGTGAACTTTGTTGGTATGTTTTCTGTGGTGGTTTTCTTTCCTTTTTATTTGGATTGCATGCATCGATTGGCTAGAAGCTTATTTTTGCTCAGTGATGATATTTTCTTGTCAACAGATAAGAAGTTACTTTGTTCTGCCTGACCATCCTTATAAATAAAGCCCCTCAAATACGGCTATTGGTTTGGAAGATTTTGTGTATTATAAATGCTCAATTTTAATGCTTATGTAGACTTTTTTGATGATCACAGTGCTCGTACGACCTTTTTACTATATATTTGAGAAATTATTGGAAGAGCTGAAGTTGTAGTAATGACATTTTGAGTTGTTATTATCTTCAAGGCTTTTATTGATCAGTAATAATTTCAGGTCTGAGGGGAGGGGGTCTTGGGGATAGGAGGTCGCAGATCTTCAAGAATTTTGGAGAAATGGTTGTGGAGAATAGATAATGGAGAAGGATGTTGGGGGCTAAATATGGCACCGCATATGTTATTGGAAGTGAACTTGTCTCGTAGGAGGGGGATTTGTAAAGGGTATTCAACTTGTTTGGGAGGAATTCCTGAAATTTGTCAGATTTATGTGGGAAGTTTTGACAGGGTGAAGTTTTGGCATAAAAAATGTTACGGAGATGATGATAGATTTTAACCATTTTTCTCTTAGCTTCCTTTGTTATTAGAATCGAACAATTCATGATTCAAATCATATGATTTCTCTAAATAATCGATACAAACAGGTTGCATAAATGACAAGTAGCTATGAATCATTGATGAATTGGTGGGTCATAAAATCAAATTGTCGAAAATGAATTGACTGATTGACTTTCGATACATTGTACTTTTAAGAAAATACATAAAAATAAAAAAGGATAGGAGACACTGTATGGTCGCCCCCCCCTTCTCCTCTTTCCACAATTTCTAAGCTTACTTATTCAGCTTTATCTAATTTTTTGCATTGCACTTACAAAAGGAATCTTTTGGAGGCATCAAGTGATATTTTTTATAAAATTTAAAGAATTGTGTACTTTTACTTCCCTTTTAGGTGAAATTTTTTATTATTTTAGTTGTAAAAACTTTGTTATTGAGTTATTATTGCTTGAAAATTGGAGTTTGTTTGTGTTAGCTTTCTTGATTCTAAAAAGAAAAAGATAAAGTGGTGATCTTATATATGGGACCATTTTGATCTAGTTAACTATTTTTATAATGAATCTTGCATTCTTGTTTCCTTCTAATTCATATATGTACGTGTATGATGTGGGTTGTCATAAATCATAGCATAATTGACAACATCATCATCATTCAAAACAACCTTTTCATTGATTGAAGTCTAAATTTTTCACATGTATAAAATATAGCTTTACTATCTAAATACATAATATTTTTTTATGGTAAATTAGAAATTTTGACCAAATCTTTACGATTCACAGTTTGATTTGATTCGAAAAATGACAATTTACATTTAGGATTTGACTACTATGCTAGCTGGTAATAGAAATGCCTCGGTGGCTGATTATGTTAAGGGCACAGATGGTTGATGTCTTTTTTATTAGATTGAGGAGGAATTCATTATTGGCAACCGTCTGATCTCTTTTACCTTCTTTAGAAGTGTAGTGGTGTTGGAGATGGTGGTGATGCCTTTTGGTGGCTCAAAAATAGGAAGGAGAGGTTTGATGTAAAGTCCTTTTATAAATCCTCGTTTGGTCTGGGTGAATTTCTTGTGGAATGTCATATTATTATTATTATTATTATTACTATTTTGTACAATGCAATCCACGAGAAGATTCTTATGAATGATAATCTCCTTACAAGGTGTTATACCATTGTAAATTGGTGTTTCCTTTGTGAGCGCAATGAGACGATCTCTCATTTGCTCAATTCATTGTAAGGTGGCATGAGATATATGGGCTTGATTCTTGTTTTGTTTGGCATCTACTAAATCTTCTACAAAGATGTGTCATGGGCCATGTTTCAGTGTAGGATATATACAGTTGGGTGACAAATGCAGAAGGTTGGCAAATGGCTCTTTTGTGCTTGATGTGGCCAGTGTTCCATGGACCTTTCTATTTCTTTCATAGGTCTCGTGTCCCGCCCCCATAAAATATGAGAAGAGCCTGGGTGTGAGATATGTGTCTGACACCTATGCCCACTTTAAACACTTGATTCCTCTATTTTTTTTTTTAAATGATTTTTGAAGATAAAAAAGTCAACATCTTACATGGATGGGAGGTGGAAATTTCCTATTTTCCCTAAATCCTATTTAGTTTCAAGTACATATGTAAATATTTACATCATCGTATCTAAGAATATTATACAATATGTAATATGTATCAGTGTTCAGGACATGTCTCCATACCCATACCCATCATTTGGGTACATATCCAAATATCCTAAAATTTAGATGTAGGCACCAAAAGAAGATGAAGAAACAATCAGGGATCATCAATATCTTTAATAATATCATATTCTAGTCTCTTAAAATCATTAGACAAGGCCTCTTTATAGGCATAAGCACTTTCTAGATAGGAAACTAACTAATGAAGAATCCTATTAAAATTGTAATTTCTATTTGTATTAAAATTGCTTTGTTTTTCAATTTATTGTCACCCAATACCTTTTCGATCCCCATCATTAGGTATGGGAAGGTTTGATATGCTTGGACCCACACCCACACTTAATAACCCGAGTCCGTGTGACGTAGGATGTGGCTGATTGCCTGTTATGGTGAGAGCAAATAAGAGGACCTTTCAAGGAGCAGAAGAGCCTCTTCAAACGTTCAAGAGTCATTTTCTGTCTATCCTATATAGTTGGGTCTTAGGGAATGTTAAGTGAGCCTAAATCCTTTTTGAGATTCTGTAGATTCTCTTCACTCATAAGAAGCTATTGCCTTTTTAATTTTGAGTGTATGGGCCCCTTTTTTTTGAGTGGTATAGGTTTTCATGGTTTAACCATTTGTACATGCGTTGCATCCTCTTTTGATACTTTTTAATATATTTACTTACTAAAAAAACATCAGATAAGAAAGTCAAGTGACTTGGTATTGAACGGATAATTTCAAATCTATTGTTGTCATTGAATCATATGTATAATCTTGTTAATGTTTCAATAATTGTCAACCTTATGGAAGTTTGTGTGTTTTGGATTTGTAGTCCGTCAAAGCTCATTGATGACCATGGCTTGAAGCGTTGAAGTTTAGTTTCAGCATCCAAGAAGTGGTTTAGTATGGTCTGGTGCTCTAAAAAAGAGCTCCTTCAGTTACAAATTAAAAAAGAAGAAAAAGAAAAGTTGCTCAACTCACTGAACCCTATAGTTTTCTAAACTTAAATGACAAAAATGCATTCCTCTTACTCTTCTTTGGTTTGAAGCTTTCCACAATTCTTTTTTATACTTCTCCCATTAACTCTCTCTATTGCATTTGGAATTCCAGCATATCTGGTACTTGCAGAGTGTAAGGTTTTTGATTGATAGAGTGAACTGAAATTTGTAGTATAGTTTCAAATAATATAAATAAATAAAAACAACATCCAGTTAGTATACATTAATGTGTGTTTGGGAGGGGAAAGATTGGGTACACATCTAATCTTTGGCATAGTGCAGAAAGCTTAGTAGCAAGAATCGCTGAAGTTGCTCACGAATCAGCCGAAGAAGTGTGATTATGTACTTGTGTGGAAGAATCGCGAGTCTAATGCTAGAGAAATGCAAATCTGAGAAGAGAAGGAACTTATCTAGATCCTCTATTACATGGACTCACTGGTTTAGGGCAGAGTACCCCGTGTCAACATGACACAACACGGGTGCAGATGTGAGATATGTGTTGGATTCGGCATGGGTTGCTCAGACACGGCTGACATGAGAGGAGAAAGAAGAAGGGTTGTTGAGAGAAAATTACAGTGGATCAATGGTAGTAGGAGGGTGAAGATCTATCTGTGTCTCTGTGCTGATCTGTGTTGGCTCCTTTTTGTCTTCATCTGTGTCGATCTCCTCTTCTCTCTCTGTCTTCATCTCTCTTGATCTCCTCTTCTCTCTTTCTGTCTTCTCTTCTTCATCATCTCCTTGTCTTCTTCTTCTTCTTCTTCTTCTTCTTCTTCTCTCTCTCTCTCTCTATCTCTATCTCTCGTCGATTTGTGGTCTCTATCTCTCTCCCCTCTCCTTTTTAACATATAATAAATATAATAAACCAAACCAAACCAAGCCTTAAGTCCCATCAAATGGGGTCGGCTACATAAATCCTTCTTCTCTACGCGGCCCTATCAAAAGCTATTTCATTAGTTAAATTAAGTAGATCCATATCTCTATTTACAATGCTAGCCAACATTAATCTAGGCCTACCCCGTCCCCTAACACTTCTATCTACCGTTAGAACATCGCATCTCTTCATTACTACCTTTGTTGGTCTCCGTTGAATATGACCAAACCATCTTAATCGATTCTCTCTCAATTTATCTTCTATCGGTACTACTTCTACTCATTCCCAAATACACTCATTCTTAATTCTGTCTTGTCTAGTCTTACTACACATCCACCTTATCATCCTCATCTCAGCCACACTCATTTTATCTACATGTTGTTTCTTGGTTGCTCAACATTCCGTCTCATACAACATTGCTGGTCTCATAGTCGTTCTATAAAACTTACCTTTTGGTCTAGTGGGTATTTGTTTATCACACAATACCCCAGACACACTTTTCCACTTACACCATCCCACCTTAATCTTATGAGCCACGTCTGCATCAATCTCTCCCGCTGTTGTGATAATCGACCCTAAATAACGAAAATGTTCACTCTTAGGCAATTCTTGGTTCTCAATCTTCACTTCTCCTCTGTTTTCATTATTACTGTTACTAATTTACACTCATGTACTCTGTCTTAGTTCTGCTTATCCGGAATCCTTTAGATTCAAAAGTTTTTCTTCAAATCTCCAACTTTGTGTTAACTCCTTCTCCAAATATAATAAATAATATAATATGTTATATAATAATAAATCTAATTGAATCGTAAATAATAAAAAAAAATCTAATAAAATCTATAAAATGAATATATTTTTATATTTTATATTATTTAATATATATACAAACACTTCCTACCAACGATTCTTGGAATGTCTACGATTCTCCGCTTCCGCTTCCGCTCCCGCTCTCGCTCCCGCTCCTGCTTCGTGCAACTAAGGCACAAAGTGATTGGCATGATGGTTTGTATGCTTTGCTAACTTCCCTCAAGTTTAACAGGCTTTCCGCTTTTAACTCCTAAGAATCTTTGTGATGGTATCAAGAAGGGAGCAAGGATAAAGTCGAGCTTAAATGAAAGAGGCAGAAGTCAATGTGTCAAAGGCCTACAGCATCTCTCCTTTTGTTCTTAAAAGGCAATTCTAGAGCAAGGGGTTTCGAGCAATGACTCACAAGAAACTTAATAGTAAGAAAAACAAAATGCTATTTATATCGGCAACAGTGTGGCATATATAAGAGAGACGAGTAGAGAGAGTACTGATCTTTTATTTTTGCACTGTCTTATGGCGTTAGTGCTATTTTTGCTACATCTGGCAATGTTGAATTGGGTGGTACCTTCTTGTGTACATTTATAAGCATTGATTTTAGTGGCATTGGTTCTAATATGAAGTTATAGATTTTTTGGAGATGTGTACTTTGTGTGGTGTTTTAGGTGATTTGGTTGGAGAGGAACTCTAGAGTCTTGAAGGAAAAATCAGAAGATATCGGAGGCTTATGGGATATGATTTTCTATTTGGCCTCTTTTTGGACTTGGGTGTCTCCTAGTTTCAAGGGGATTCCTCCATTTTTTATTAGTAGAGATTGGAGAGCTGCCGTATGTGATATGTAATTTATTGGTTTTTCTCTATTTTTGTGGTGGAGTTCCTGTACTCCTTGCATTTTTTTTATAACTGTAGAACTCAACTCTTTTTCTTTAATAAAATTGTCTTTATTACTAATCAAAAAAATAAAATAACGCTGCGAACTTTTATCACTGACAGTTCTATAGATAAAAGGATGGAGTGTAATAAATTTTTAGGGGCGCAAATATAGTTTAATGCTCTGAAATATTGGAATGCTATTTTGATTTATAGTTTAGTGGTTCTACTAGAATGACTGTTGTAATGGTTTAGATTATGCATAACATGTGTTTTCTCCAACAAGTATGATATTTGGATATGAGAATCAGATTACTCATGATGACTTCAAGGGATTATTCAAATGTGTAATTTATTTATTTTTTCTTTTTGAGTTGGCAACTGCGTAGTTTACCCCTACCATTGTAAAGAAGGTCAGGACATTATTTTTTTTCCAGCATCAAACAATGTGTATTCAGGTTAAATAATAAATTGTTGAGTTCAAAATTATTACCAAAGGTTTTGAAAGATTGGTATATATTACTGTTGTTACAGATAATATAGAGTATACTGATTGATATACATGGACGAGTATTCTGGTAAACGAGCTGTTGGTGGGCTTGTTATCCCCAGGAAGGGATCGGGTCTTGTTTCGAGAGATACAGCTGAAAGTAGGGATAAAGATGCTGAATTCTGCAACCGACTCGGATGCAATGGCAGACTTAATCATACCAGAAGTACCCAAAATGGTTCTGAAAAATTCAAATCATCAAGGCCTTCTTTCCATGCTTCTACTGGCAAGCAGATAAATGGAAGTTCTACTAGAACTTGTTCTATGGTAACCAACACAAGAAAATTTCTTCAGGAATCCCGGAAAAAGATATCTTCTCAATTAGAAACAGATTCATGCGAAACAAGTAGTAGTAGTGTTCAGGATGAGCCAGAAGTGTTGGAGCTTGATAATGCTGAGTCTAGCAAAGTTAGATTGATGGAAGTGGGGAGCTCTAGTATAGCATCAAATAGTAAGCCTAGGAATGTATTTCGGCAGAAGTCTGTTTTAGGCACCCGAGATACTCTGTTGGGTTCCTCTGTTCCCTTGGCATGTAAAAGTACTTCCCAGGGGGCAAGAAATGGTTTGAGAAATCTTAGATGCAACTCAACATCTGATGTTGTCCCTTCAGGTGGTTCATCGTCTGAATCAAATCTCAATCGAAGAAAGGATATGGTTAAAAAGAGAAATCCTGAGGTAGAAAGTAGCTCCTCTGGTAGAGGTAAGAAGATGAGTGGACCATTGTCAGAAGACAGCCGTAGTTCAACATCTAGCAATGGCATCTCTATTTCTGATTCAAGACGAACCAGAAACTGGCCTCCTGGTGGGAATAATGGTGTTGGATCGGTTCGAACTCGGAGGTCAATTAATGGTAACACTAGGACTAGGGTTTGTAATCAAGGAAATGGAAACAGTTTGGCACCAATGGAGCTTTGTATTGGGACCTCACAGGTGGCTCCACCAGAAACATCCATTGGTTTGGATGTTCCCAGTTCATCACGTCAATTTTCAGCTGAAGCTTCTTTAAGTCATTCAACTTCTTGTAGGAGTCCAATTGGTCCTTCAGAACTTGGCATTACTCGTTCATTAATTAGTCGTGATGGCTTTCAACGATATAACATGGATGGGATTGCAGAGGTATATTGTTTATGTTTGGTCACGCATTACACATCCTTTGTTCATACTAGTGTACAGTGAAGGGAGCAATAATGATATACTTGGTGGTGTTATTTTTTCTTACGATATTGATCTTCGTCTTCTTCCTCCTCTTTTTCTTTCTTTTTCTTATTTTTTTTTTTTAATTTTTTTTTCCAAAAAAATGAAAAAACAATATTCTTGCACTGTTTGCAGGTACTGTTGGCACTCGAGAGGATTGAACAAGATGAGGAGCTAACAAATGAGGTATTTGGTCTTTTGGTATGTGAATTTCTCATATTGGTCATTTGCGTATTAACTCTGCTTCTTTGTCCTGCAGCAATTACTTGCCCTTGAGACAAATTTATTCCTTGGTGGCCTTGGTTTCTATGATCAACATAGAGATATGAGACTGGACATTGATAACATGTCATATGAGGTTTGTTAAGTTGATGCTTTTTTGGAATTGTTGAAGTTTTCTTTGTGCTTATGGTTTTATTTTTGTGAGCAAGGGATTTTTGTTTTACTCATGTTCTGTTATTGACATCTCTTGTGAATAGATAAATAAACTTTTTTTTCCCTTCTTTTCCTGGTGCATTTGAGAATAATTTTCTTAGATAATATATGTATTTTTTAACAGGAATTATTAGCTCTAGAAGAGAAGATGGGTACTGTGAGCACAGCTCTATCAAAAGAAGCACTATTGAAATGTCTTAAGAGAAGCATCTATCTGCCTACATCTCCTGAGGAAGAAGCCATGAGATGCAGTGGGAATGAAGATATCAAATGCAGTATTTGTCAGGTTTTGTTCCTATGAATATAGACTACTATGCTTTCTCATTCTCAAATGTCTTAAGGTTAGTTTTTTTGTTTTTTGTTGAAAATTTGTAAAATTTCAAACCGTCAAACCGATTCGTATCAATCCGCCAATCCGCCAATCCACCATATCTGCATCCGCCGGATTGGCGGACGGATGCGGATTAATTTTCTCCAATCCGCCAATCTGGCGGACGGATGGCGGATTGGAGGTTTCATGGCCGCAACCGATTTGCGCCCACCCCTAACAAATACAAGTGGTTACAACTGACTAGATATCTCTAACAAACTAACAAACTTACTAACTAGATATTTCTAAGCAAACTAGATATTTTCCTTTACTAGTCCCACACATGCATCAGTAGAGTTATCTCCTGGTAGTGATGACTTAACAGTTTTTCATACTTGCGTTGATTACTGATTTTTTTTTTTTTTGGAACTCTATTACTGATGTTTATTACAGTATTTCTTACTTGAATGGTAATGATTTTATAAATTTGGGCAACCATAAGTGGAGTCTTGAAAGAGGTTCATGTGTCGTAAGTATGATGTAACCAGATTTGATATGTGGGAAATGTGAAAGATAAACTATTGCGGAATTTAGTTAATTTGTGATTTGAAAATTTCATGGTGAAATAGAATAATTAAGCAAACAAATTATGGGCATTGCTAATCTTATCTTTAGGCTCAACTGAATTAAATAATAGATATGCTCTATTGGTCTAGATTGAATTTTGTTAAAAGGTTATTTTGAATATTTTGAAACTCATTTAAAAAAATTAACAATCCCATTTCCTTTGATAAAAAAAAATAATTTTTTTTTCTAGGTGATTTTGTTTATAAGTCATTTTGATTTTGATTTTGGATTTTGTTTTTCTATATTGTATTTAAAGAAATACCTTTGTATCTTATTCCATACCTTGTTCAACAGATATTACATAGTATTTATATAGACAGATTAACTAACTAACTAACTGTGGTTACACTTAACTAGAGTTCTAACAAATTTTCTCTTGATATGATTAATCGAACTACCTAACTAACTCTGCTGTTATAACTGTGAGCTTTAACAGATGAAGCCATTTCCGGCAGTCGCACGGCCTGCAGTTTTAGTTTCAATTGTGGCTTGAACTGTGATTGCACTGTTGTGAGCTGAGCTGTTGTGGATTGAGCTTGATCTTTAGAATCTTGAGCTTGATCACTAGTGGTCTTAATATCCCCCGTCAAGCTGATAGGAGAAGAATGAGCTAGAAGCTTGGTTTGAAGAAATTGAAAACGAGAGATAGAAAGGGGTTTAGTAAGAATATCTGCAAGTTAATTAGATGTGAGAATGTGTTTGATAATCAACTAGTTTGAAGCCACACGCTCTCGAACATAATGATAATCTACTTCAATGTGTTTCTAACGGGTATGGAAAATAGGATTACTAGATAAAGCAATAACAGATGAATCGTCGCACTATAAGGTAGGTGGAACAAAAGGAACATGAAGATCCTTGAGAAGCATACCAAGCCAGCTAAGTTTAGCCGAGGTTGGAGCAAGAGCTCTATACTCAGCTTTAGTGGAAGACCGAGAAATAGTTGGTTGCTTTTTGGCAGACCAAGAAAAGTGCAAAATCCAATTGTAGATCGGCGATCAATAGCATTTCTAGCCCAATCCAAATCAGAGAATGCATTAAGAATGAGAGGGCCTTGTTGAAAATGAAGACCACAATGAAGAGTACCCTTAAGAAATCGCTGCAACCATTTGACAGCATTGAAATCGCTAACTAAAGGATTATGCATGTGTTGACAAGCAAGATCTGGGTGAGTGATGGTGAGATATTGAAGAGCACCAACAAGACTTCTATACAAAGTAGCGTACTAATAGCACCACTCTTAAGAATCACTAAGCGCATTGCAACAAAAATTCTAATTAAAAACTTACCAGTCAGTCAATTACTTTATGGTTTTATAAATTAACTCACAAGTTTGTCAAACATTTATACTGGGTGATATTTGTTGCTAGAAATCTGAAATTATATGTAGAGATCGAAATCTATTTAGATGCAAACTTTATTTCTTCTACTGGTGGTGATATTCCTCTTTATTTATTTATGTTATACTTTTATGTAGGGATGGATTCGCAAAAAGATGCATACTTCACCAATCTTTAACATAATGAGTCTAGTTTTGAATATGAATTTGTGATGGAATCTCTAGATCAAATGACTCAAAATTTGAATCAAAATGTTCAAGTGTCCGCTCAAATGGGATCCATGGCTCGGAAATCACGTGGTGGAAACTTTACCATGGAAGAAGACAATCTCGTTGTATCTGCATGGCTTAATACTAGCTTAGATGCAATCTAAGGGAATGAACAGAAACATAAGGCATATGGTCAAGAGTGTATGATAACTTCCTCAAGTACAAGAAATTTAAACCTGAACGTACTCAAAACTCTCTAATGCATCGATGGTCGACGATTCAACTCGGCACAAATAAGTTTTGTGGATGCATTGCCCAAATTGAATCAAGGAATCAAAGTGGTGTGAATGAGCAAGACAAGGTTTTAATTATATTGGAATTTATGCATTTATAGTTATTGTTTTTATTTGTAGAATGAGAATTATTACTATTATTTTTTTATTTTTCAGATTTCTCACGCAAAACTTTTGTACCAAGAATTGAATAAAAGTTCATTTAATTTGAACATTGCTGGACTTTGTTGAAGAACCAACCAAAATGGTTAGAGGATTGTCAAAGGAAAAAACCGAAGAGAAGTGTGACTCCAAAAACCCCTTCTCCTTATACTCTGAATACAATTTATCTAGGGGAAGACAATGGCACACATGATACCATTGTCTTGGAGAGACCATTGAATAAAAGAAATAATATGGATTGTACGAGTTCGCCTCTTGAAGGGATACTAAATGAGAAAAAAAGAAGGGACAATAAGAAGAAATTGAACATTCTGGAGAAAGCATATTTGCAAGAGCAATAGAGGCTTCTTAATGATAAAGAAAGGCTTCGTCATGAGCAAGCAAGATTTGTTATTGAGCAAGAAAAGCATTGAGCGGAACTATTGAAAGAGGAGGAGAGAACTATGTTGATGGATACAAGTGGCATGCCTCCAATGCAACGAGATTATTATCATCGGTGCCAAATGGAAATCTTTGAAAAGGGAAAAGACACAGAGTTCATTGTGAAAAGTAATGTGTTTCTTGAAGAATCCCTCACCTTTCTTTTGTATTTCTAAGCTATTATTAGAATTAATATATTATATTTAAATGTATGGATGAATATATGGGCATTGTATTTGAAAATTTAAATGCTTATATTATAGAAAAGTAGTTGCCATAATTATTCTAGAAAATAGTGAGTGCGACTCATATTACAAATTCCTATGACTGTCCATGTAGTTGTCACAAGTGCTCAACAAGGTTAGATTGAAATTGAGAATGAGTTTCTCTATGTCTAATGAGATAATGACTTTGAATGAAGTCCATCAATTCAGTTGTATGCTCATGTGATACTGATGCTTGAGGACTTTCATTGATTACATCATAATTAAAGTCTTCTGCTACATTGACATCTCACTCATCCTGAACAATCATATTATGCAATATTATGCACGCCGTCATTACATCATTTAGTGTTTCATTGTTCCAAAAATGTGCATGTTCATGTACTATGGCAAGTCGTGCTTGAAGTACTGCAAATGCACGTTCTACATCTTTTCTTGCTGACTCTTAGATTGGAGCAAAATATTTTTACTTGTGTCGACAAGGAATTGTTTTTACAAATGTTGACCATTGTAGATATATACAATCAATTCCATTGTGTAACCATTGTTGTTGTTGAGTAGTTGACTGGAGGAACCCGTTTTTCAGCGAGCTCGGTAAATACAGAAGATTGTTCTAACACGTTGATGTCATTATGAGATCCTAGTAGCCTTAAAAACATGTCATATCCAAAGATCATATGATGCCACAGCTTCCAAAATAATAGTTGGTTCACACTTATGACCAATATACATTCCTTTGTGTGCAATCGAACAATACCATAATCCCTTCCAAAAAAAATTCTTTTAGAATATATTAACTTTTAGCGATGATTATTACCATCACAAATACCATTTTGTTTTTGGGGGTAAAAGTACAAAAATTGCAAATAAGTATAAATAAAACATACCTGTATAAATGGATTTTTATCTGTAATAGCACCCACACATTTACAACCAAATATTTAAAACAATTTTAAGACAAACAAAATAACATAATCTTTACTAAAAAAAATAATATTATCTACAAATATAATAGAACTATAATAATTACATGTACATGGTGCATTGTAATTAAATATACAATCGTTCCATTATTTAAAATAAATAAATAAATAATGGGTACCATTCTTCATGAGCATTGAAATCAACAAGCAAGCTCCTAGCCATGAGATAGCATCTGAAAACAAACAAAAAAATTAATTAATGACTATAATTATTAGTATGCTAATTACATAAAACTTAAAAGATATATAGATATTTGAACAAAAACAATAACGACTTTAAACTGTAATATACATCAACTGCCAAGCAATATATCAACCAACAACTTCTTGAACTATTCTAACACCCTGGCAAGGTGTTTCCAGAAGGACATTATGTTTTTTCGCTTTTTGGACAAAGACTTTATAATAGTCTTGCCACAATAGAACTTCATTTATTTCAAACAATGGATCATCACTAATAACAAGTTCCTCACGAACCGGATTTTTGGAACACGACAACTATGCGAAGAAACTTTATTTCCAACCTACAATCACAAAACTTTATTTCCAACATAAAAAGGTGCACATGGTAAAAAAGTTACAATTCTTTGTGATGAAATCTATCAATGTTTGTGATGTGTGTTACGAATAGTGAATTCACGTTGTGCACCCTAAGGTTATGAATGATGAAGTTATGATATTTTGTGATTGTTGTTATGCCACTTTGTGATTTTTGTTAAGACATTTTGTGGTGAAAAAAACTTATGATTTTTGTAGTAAAAAGTTGTGACATTTTGTGATTTATGTTACAAAATTTTACGAAGTTATGAAGTGCATACCATATGTACCTTTTTAAGGGTGGACATAGTAGCATCTCCCAAATTTGTAACCACCACAAAACATTTGTTTGTTAACCTAAATTGGACTCCGACTTCCAATCTAGGAATCCTTTTTGAATCCCGTTTTCTTCCACAAGTGTACCTAGGTGGGTGTGCATGCAACGTTTCATTAGAATTTGATGTTGTTTGGCGATTTAGGTACATCAGTGACTCAATTTCTAAACTGAAAATTTGGCTCTAACTAGAAAACCAAGAACCCTTTTCGAGTTCTCCCACAGCTATCATGCCTAGGTGGTTGTGTGTGCAAAGTTTTGTGAGAATCTGATGTCGTTTAGCGTTTTTGGTACGTTAATCGCAGGTCATCAAGTTTCTTAAGAACTAAGTGTTCGTAGACCAAAATTCGGCTCTAACTCGAAATTGGGAACCCGTTTTCAAGTCTTGTTTTCTCCTACAACTCACTTGGGCCGAAGTAGTTATGTGTGCAAAGTTTCATGAAAATCCGATGTTGTTTTGGAAATTTTGATATGTCAATAACTCGGAATATCAATGTTTTTGAGATTGGCTTTTTAGTAGCTTTTTGTTGACTTTTCTTCGTTTTTATTAAATTTTTTTAAAAAAGCTTTACACTTTTGAGTTCTACTCGATTAGACAAACTTCAAAAAATATATATATATATATTATTATTTTTTTTTATCTATAGTGGATTTTTTTATCTTTTGGATCCTTTTACACTTGGACCAGTAAAGTAAAAAGTCGACTTAAATTTTTTTTAAAAATCACTAACTCCGTGTTTGGTTGGGAGATTTGGGAAGAGATTTGGAAATAGAAAGGGAAAGTGAAAGAGAAAATGAAGGTGAAATGTGAATAAAATATACCTACATTTCACTTAGTTTCACAAATCTTTTCCCTTTCTCTTTCTGAATCCCTCAACCAAACATAGTATAAAGACAAATAAGTAGGAAAAAATTATGGCCTTTTTAAGCTGGATGCCAAACCATGCCGTTCCTAGACTGAGATTCGGCTATAACCCGAAAACCCTTTTTGAGTCCCATCTCTTCTCCCACAACTCTCTTGTGCATAGGTGGTAGTCGTCTGTGGAAAATTCCGTGAAAATCCAATGCCATTTGACAATTCTTATATGCCAAAGACTCGAATTCACCAATATCTTAATAATTTAGTGCTAGACCTAAATTGTGCAAATAGATAGTATATAACTAACAATAGGTCTCTACCTAAATGTTATACTTGGTCAACTGATGATGGTGAAGAAACTTAGTATAAGATCAAATGAAATGTAAACTATATTTTACCTAAAAAGGGGCTCTTTGCTTGATCTTCACCTCAAACCATGCTGAAACCAACTCATTGCCTCAAACCCTACAAATAGGATTACAACTTTAGCACAACAACAGTAAACATGTAACCTAGATGGGTAAATCATCCACTTTAAATGTATTAAGCAATATTGCTAGATCAAAAATTTTCTTGGAGCATCATTAATTGTCTTTATATTCAAATTTATATTTGCCAAGTGGCAATCTCAACTTAGTTCTAGGACTAAAGCTTGTTTACTATGGGTTTAATACTCATGGAAGCTAGCTCAGGCATTCAACCTCAAGGTGAGAGTCTTAACAGTTATTTGTTTACTGCAGCGGCTTACTACGGATGCTAAAAGCCTTTGTACCAACATCAAAAGAGCTATTTAAATTATAGAAGTAGAACAAAGGGAACCAGTTTGAAATTTATGATCTATGCTTGGCCTCCCTCACACACATATATTCTTCTTTTTACCAGACTTATTCAAGGAATAAATCAATTACATTGTATATTTGTTTTAGTGGCTGTCTATATTTTATTTATCCATAAAATTAGTTCAGATGCATAAGGAGAGCTGGCACTTGAGGAAGTGCTGTTCGTTTTGGTAAATTGAGGGTTTCTAAAGCACCCTCCCCCAACCCTTGAACCACACACCCCCTCCACCATCAAGCTCCCTGCCACCACCACCCCTACCCCCATCCTTTCCCCCACCCCAATATCCACCATCCCTCCTCCCCCAACAACCCTACCCCTCCACTGCCATTACCAATCAAAGAGAAATTTCTAAATCATATTAACGCTATATTTGGTTAGGGGATTTGGAAAGGGAAAGGGAAAAGGTAGGTGAAATGTGAATAAAATATACCAACATTTCACCTAGTTTACACACATTTTCTTTTTCTCTTTCCTTCCCAAATCCCCCAACCAAACATAGCGCAAGGGTTGCGTACTTAACAGCGGTGGAGTTGTGCTGCAGTGGGTAGTAGACGCCAGTGGGCAGCACTGCGACGGCATACGCTGTGTCGATGGACGGAACTGACGGAACTGAGAGAACTGAGAGATGGATAGATGGAGAGAGTTTAGGGCAACAAAGTGAAGGAGATATTGAGAGATCGAGAGAGTAAGAGTGAGGGTGAGAGCGGGGGGGAAAAGGGAAAAGGTGTATTTCACCTAGCTTCACACACTTTTTTCTTTTCCCTTCCCAAATCCTCCAACCAAAACAGCGCAAGGGTTGTGTACTTAACGGTGGTGGAGTTGTGCTGCAGTGGGCGGTAGACGCCAGTGGGCAACACTGAGACGGAAGACGTTGTGCCAATGGATGGAGCTAAGAGAACAAAGAGATGGACAGATGGAGAGAATTTAGGGCAACGGAGTGAAGGAGAGATTGAGAGAGTGAGAGTGAGAGTGAGAGTGAGAGTGCTAGTGAGGGTGAGGGTGAGAGTGAGAGTTCAGGGCAAGAGTGAGGGATAGATTGAGAGAGTGAGAGTGAGAGATGATGTAAACTAGGGTAGTACAAAACAAAACAAAGGCGACGGGGTTTTGGATGAATTATTTGCCATCACAAAAGTATTATTTATAAGCACAAACAACCTCGGCTAAGTAATTCATTTTGCGACTGCAACTTGCCATTGTAAATAACCGTCATTTGCGATGGCACAAGTTGCCGTGGCAAATGGGTCATTTTTAACGATAGCAACTTTGCCATTGCAAATACTTCCGTATCAAATACCCTGTTTTTTAGTAGTGATCGTAACAATATTCCAAGGCAAATTTTTTAAACTATGCTGATGTGCTAGTTTCCTCTTTTAATGTCAATCACCAAGTATGCAATGAAGGCTCATTCATTCATGGTAAACCTGAGTAATACTCTTTCAATCATTCAATCAAAATTGACTTTCATTCAAGCATTTATATCAACCATTCAAGCATATAAATTAAAGTACGAGTAATGAAAATAGAAGAACACTAATATTTATAATGGTTCGACAAACTCTTGTGTTTACTTCCACTCCCAACCAATCTTACTGGTGTTCTCCACTAATTCAAACAGGTTTTTCATATGTTAGCCTAAAACCTTCACACTAATAGGTGTTTTATATGATAATCTGAAACCTTTACATCAACAAACAAATACAAGTAACAGGGTTTTCTTGGCTCAACCCAAAACCAACAACACCAAGCACAACCCTAATCAAACAATTATATAAGAAGTTATTTATACTCTTGGTGTCTCTATGTGAGACTACAAGTGTAGGTGTGTCATGACTCAAGTGTCTAAACAAATTATTACACTTATTAGATGAGAAAATATACCTTTAAGATGAGAACTCCAAGGCCCCCCAATAGGAGTAAACTCTCCAATCAAAGTTGTGTGAAGATACCTCAATGTTCCTCTCAATCACACAATGATAGAATCCCCTATGAAATGTGATTTAAAGAGCATAGAGTGTATATGCTCTCACTTAACTATTCCTCTTCAATTTATACAAAATGGGAGCATTTGGTATTTATAATCCTAGCTTTTAATGAATATATTTTTGAATTTTTCCCAGACATAGTCGACCAAGCATAGTCAACCACATCCATTTAGATAACCGACATACTACCATATGACCTTTTTGGGCTCTCGGGACTCCTACCATGGTTGATCACATCCATCAAGATGATCAACCACACTCTGGGTTTTTAATAGGCTACTCTTTGGACAATCCTATGGTCAACCATGCTCCTCACTCAGCATGATCAATCAAGCTAACAAATGTAGGCTTAGCCCTGTCTGTCCTAACTTGGTTTCCACCTTGTCCAAAACCTTCTTCATGCTGATCAAGCTACCCCACAACACCCTTTTCATATCTTGGATTATTGTGAAAAGAAAATAAATAAGAAACGAGAAAGATAAGAAATGAAAATTAAGTGAAAAAACTAAATTATTATTTTCTTTTGTTTGATTGGGTTAGAAAAACAAGAACCAAATGCAAATGTATTTGTTAAAAGAAGTATATTTTTGGTTTAGTTACAACAAAAAGTAAATACAAATAAATAATTTCATTTCATTTTTCTCCATGAAAAATCTAAGTTCAAAACATAATATTAGTACCCCAATCTCCGCTAGTTAATGTTTTGATTGACCAATATTAGAAAGTGGTCAATAGATTTGTCGGCAGATTTGATTAATTTCCAAAAAATCAATGCAAGATGGAGATAAACCTAGTTACAGGAATCCGATATATATATATATATTAATTGTAGAAGTGTAGCACTGCTAATTTGTGCTTTGTACTTCAATGTTTTGCTTTATTGGAACGACAATTTAATACTCTCAATTTTAATGTGTTGACAGTGAAAGCCACTGCTATCCTTAGAACAATTACTAAACAAACAGAAATTTGTTATTCTCTCCCTACTTCTTTATAGATACATTCTAAAATTTGAAAACACAATTCCCATTGTACACAATAATACAATTTCTAAAATTGTATCTATAACAAGGTAGACTAGAAATAACATTTTCTAACAAGTATTGTTACATTAAAGGCCTCCAGAGGCGCTAGCTCTGTACATGGGATGTTATACAAAACAAACAAAAATGTCTATGAATTTCTACACCCCATGTTGTCTGCAAAATCCAAAATAAAAAAAAGTCTCAAAAGTGACGTCTCATCCTCCCTAACACCAAAACAACAAATCTCAGAAAGTTGCTCTTTCATAACTGCAGTATAAGAGGAAACTAAAGAAAGATTAGCCTCAGAACATAAATAAAGCAAACTTTAACCAGCAACCCCAAGAGAAGCTTTCAGCAATGCCTAGAACTTTGCAACCAATGGACAAGATCTTTCTCTGTCCAATGTTAAAATCAGAGACCCAAAACTCACAAAAGGCATTCACAACCTCCCTCCACCCACCTATCTTGTCCCCCCTCAGATACAAAGACATGTTTCCCAACCTGTTATCAATCTTCAACAGAAATTTAAGTGTCCATTCCAATCCACATGACACCTAACCATGACTACCTCAGCATCAACCCCAAACTGTGAGATTGTGTAAAACCTCCTTTTGGGGTTCCACCATATCTCGTGACTTCACTAGAATATTGGAGTCGATTTAAAGCTTTCATTACACTAGGTGATTCTGAACCTTCAGTCTCATATTTGGTAATTCACAAACTTTGAGGATTAAGCAAGAATACCACAGCTACCAAAAATACCATTTATGGGTCTATCGGATGCCTCAAGCAAACACCCACAGAACATCCTGCATTTTTCACTTGAAGAAAAATTGAGCAAACCACATCACCACACCATTCTATTAGCTTCAATCTCTAGAATGGGCCATCACCATCATCAACCATATCAAAAGTATTTCACCATACTTGCATCAGGATCTTACTGGTTCATATTGAACGCAGAAAAAGAGCAAAGATCAATAAGTCATGTGAGAAGAAAAGATACTGAACCATGAGAGAGAGAGAGAGAGAGCAACAGTTGGACAGATTTACAGTCAGACAACAACTGGACAGTTCCCAAAGTACACTGGTATCATAGTCAAAATGTACAGCAGGATAGCATTCCCCCATGTGCGGATTCGATTGTTCCTTCGTCAATAAATTAGACATTTTAACACACTTAAAGAAGACTAAAGTTAGTATGCATTGTCGAATAACTTGATACTTAAACTTTTAGGACCAGTGGTGATCTAAAATGGTTCCATAGCTCAGGTTAGAGAGGTCTTGGGTTCAAGTCTTCCCATTTGCATTTGGCCCTGTTTGCATTCTACTTCTCTATGTATCGGTGTTTGCATGTCTACATGCAAGACAGAGTTGCATTGCATGTGAGTGTTAGGCATATTTCCTAAAAGCTTAAACTTTTGAGACAAGTGGTGATCTAACAACATGAATATAGAACATGATTGAAAACATAAATGATAACATCTAACACTAGAAACAATCTAATTGAATATGTATACAATATATCGTAAACCAGAGTAAACCCACATACCATACCATAAATTTGTTGGACAAGAATCAATGTTATCATTACTATATGTCTAATGAAACTTGAAGCGATGTTTATATCTATATCATAAATAATCGATAAACCAAACACTTTAGCATGCACAAGTAGAACAAGACATCATCACTTCAAAATATACTAAAGCATAAATTTCTCTATTTCAGTGATGGAGCCCCATTACTTCTCAGAGCAAGCTCCTGCATCAAAGAAGCCCACTGCCCACCATAACCAATGTCGAAATCTATAACATGAAGTCGATCAAACCCTTCTAAAACTTCAAGGAGTGCTTGGTTACAAGTAAAATGGGCAAATTGAATGAAAGGTGAATTGGGCGGCACCGGGTTCATATTGCTTGTATGGAGAATGAATTGCAGAGCCTCTTTACAGAAAAAAAGCAGCCCTATTGAAAGGCCTACCGATGGGAGAGAGCTGGTGATTGAGCCGATGGTGGCTCGATGTCGCCATTGATGAACAAATATGTGTGAGGCAGAGAAGAGTTCAGCTATGACTTTCTGGCAGCGGAGTGTAGGTATGTGTAGAGGTCCGGCGGGCGGCCAAGGCGAGGCTGCCGCCCGCCGGTGAAGCAGAATTTCTAGCTTCTCAACCTTGCTTTGATACCATGTTAAAAATAATGTATTATTGATTGATATCTAGATGTGTTACAAGATTGTTTTATTACAATTCCTATACAATCTATATATAGAAGAAAATGTGGTAGTAGGTGTAGTGGAGGTGATAGTGGGTTAGGTGAAGTGGAGTGTGTGGTGAAGTGGAGGTAGGTGAAGTGGAGTGTGTAGTGGAGTAGGTGAAGGTAAAGATGGGAAATTCTAACAATTACTTCAAAATTAAGCTTTGAAGGAGATTTTGCAATCATTATTGTGAGACCCGAACCCTTGCACGAGTACCTTAGGAATTATGTAGTTAATTTTTAATTTCAAAATGATAGGTTAGTGGGGTTAAAGAGTTACTTTCATTAGGAGTGAGGTTCTCAGGTGTTATGATTTCTAAGTTGTTGGGTGGAAACGTGAATTCATGAATTAGTGTGGTAGAAACTGCAATTCCTTGAAATGTGGGATAAGAACCTTATTCATCACTTTGGTTGCAAGACAACTAGATAGGAGCTTGCCACTTCCACCTCTTTGGCCCAAAGGCCAATGTATATATTTCCAATGCTGTTACTTAGTTTCTTCCTTCATTTCCAAAAACTACAACAAACATTCCAAAATCTAGTTACAAATTGGAACAGAATTCAACCAATTTTCTTCAGGGCTTTTCATTAAGGAAGAGATCTAGAACTTAATTAAAGACTTGGGATTAGGTATGGAATTTCCTAAATTCTAATTTGGATAGACTAAAACTTGCATAATAGCTAGAAGCATGGATTCTTGCATTTTGTTGTCATTAAGGTGTGGTATGGCATGTAGTTTTTCAAATAAATGCATGCGTTCAAGTTGTTAAGTTGGTTCCAATATGAATTTATTCGTCTTTTAATTAATTTTAATAATGTTTTGAGCATGGAAAATGGTGATTTTAATAAAGCAAATTTGAAGCAATTTTGGGAATGAGTTTGCATAATCTTGCAGAATTAGAATTCTGCATAAACCTGCCTTTGGCGAATTTTTAAAAATGTTTCTGCACCTCAGAAATATATGAAATTTCAACTGGAGGTTTCTCTAGGAGTCAATTGTATTGTGTAAAATGTTCAGAATCAAATTCTAAGAAATAAATTTTATAAAAATCAAGAACTAAGCTTCTGTCAACTTGATTTTATCTTTTCTTTGTTTATTTGGGATTCATATGTTTGAGAGGTTTCATCCTAATTGGGAATGCAGTTCTAACCGGATTCTTACACTGAATTGCAATATGGTTCTTGCAACTAAGACAAGGACACCAAGCTATTTCAAAGTAAATAAACATATAGATATTGTTTTAAAAGATATCCACAGGTTATGCTGTAAGGATGACTAAACAACATTTACACTAATGTTGTCTACACAATGCAAACCAAATAGAGAACGGAGAGATATATACTAGTGATATAGACTAGAGCGGAGGGTAAGTGCATTGTTTATCTATTCAAATTGGTTGCTCACACCAGTTAAACATTCGTTAGTCACAAAATCAACAGCTAAGGTGCAACAACCTAAAGAACTCAGTTGACAACACGAACTTCTTAAGTTTTGGAAGTTGGAGGCACACTAACACTTGAATCTCAGCCACTGGTTACATTTTTTGGTTCCTTTAACCCTGAGGACTAATGCAAGAGAAGTGAGCTAATTAATTTACGAAAGATGAAAAAAGCCCTTCTAAGGTGTGTGCTGGTGCACATGAATTCCAAGACTGTAGTAGACTCGTAAGTCTAGAGAAGAGAAAGTGATAAGGAATGAGTTAGACCTCATCTCCTTTTATATTGATAATAATGAGTAATTACAGGAATGCTAGCCATAAGGCATAAATTATGGGCCAGTCCATTACATCAATCAAGGAAAAATAAAATCGAATAAGAATAAAATATTATGTCTTATTCCAACACTCCCCCTCAAGCTGGTGCAAAGATATCTCTCATGCCCAGTTTATTGAGAATGCTATAAAATGGTTTGCTCCCTATTCCCTTGGTGAGAACATTTGCTAGTTAGTCCCCAGTCTTCACAAATGGAATACATATAGTGCCACTAGTGAACTTTTCCTTGATGAAGTGCCTATCAATCTCAACATGCTTGGTTCTATCATGTTGAACTGGATTATGAGCTATGTTGATGGCGACTTTGTTGTCACAGTACAATCTCATGAAATTAGTTTGATGATCCACAAGTCTTGCAACAATAGTCTAATCCATAGCAACTCACATACTCCCTAAGCCATAGCCCTGAACTCTGCCTCAGCACTAGATCTAGTAACCACATTTTGTTTCTTACTTCGCCACGTGAATAGGTTGCCTCCAACAAATGTGTAATATTCAGAAGTTGATCGTTTGTCAGTAACTGATCCAACCCAATCCGCATCAGTGAATGCCTCAACACTGAGATGTCCATGTTTTGAGAAATAGAGACCCTTCGCAGGAGAAACCTTCGAGTATCTCAGGATTCTCATAACTGCCTCTAAGTGAGAACTTTTAGGTGCATGCATAAACTGGCTAACCATGCTCACTGCAGTGGCAATGTCTAGACGTGAGTGGGATAAGTATATAAGCTTACCCACTAGCCTTTGGTATCTCCTCCTGTCCACTGGATTTCCCCCTTGATCCTCACTTAGTTTCTGGCCTAGTTCTAGAGGTGTGTCACACAGTCTACCTCCAAGCATTCCAGTTTTCTTTAGCAAGTCATGTATATACTTCCTTTGGGATATGAAGATGCCATCCTTGGACCGAAGTACTTCAATGCCCAAAAAATACTTCAAATTGCCTAAGTTTTTTATTTCAAACTCCTTGGCTAAGTATTCCTTCAACCGAGGAATCTTCTCAACATCATCTCATGTCAGAACAATATCATCAACATAGACAATAAGAGCTGTGGTCTTACCAAGTGAGGACTGTTTCACAAATAATATGTGATCAGCTTGACTTTGCTTGAATCCATATCCCAGCATAGCTTGAGCAAACCTTTCAAACCAAGCCCCAAGGGATTGCTTTAGCCCATAAAGTGACTTCTGGAGCCTGCACACTTTATCTTTGGACCTAGCATCCTCAAAACCAGGGGGAATATCCGTATAGACCTCTTCTTCTAGGTCTCCATGAAGGAAGGCATTCTTCACATCAAACTGATGAAGTGGCCAATCCAAATTTGCTGCAAGAGAGAGTAATATTTCCATAGTGTTCATCTTAGCAACCGGTACAAATGTCTCCTGGTAATCTACCCCATAAGTCTGAGTAAAACGCAGCAACCAGTCTTGCTTTGTACCGTTCTATGGAACCGTCTGCTTTGTGTTTCACAGTGTACACCCACTTACACCCAACTAGATTTTTGCCTCTAGGTAACTTCACTAACTCCCAAATGCCATTCTTGCTGAAAGCTCTAATCTCCTCCATCATGGCATGTTTCCATTCAGGGATGGAGAGAGCATCCTAAAAATTGTTAGGTAGACTCACAGAAGAAATTTAGACAGAAAGGCCATATATGAGGGAGACAGATTAGAATAAGAGACATGATTAGTAATCGGATGCTGAATACATGACCTGACCCCTTTCCTATTAGCAATGGAAACATCAAGATCTGAGAACTCAGGTATAGGAGCATTAGGATTAGAATTACTTGGGTTCTCAGGAGAGGGGGGATGACTCTAGACACTCATCCGGAGAAGAAGTTGGCAGTAAAGAAGGGAAAGTAGTTTCTTGCATCTACATAACTTTCTGTCTATCTTTGTCCCTAACATTAACTTTGCCGTCTTCCTTCGCTGGCTTAACATCCTCTATCTGCTCTACCACTGGTGGCACAGGAATCTCTTCACACCAAGGCTCCCCCTAAAGGGATAACTGTGACAATGAGGAGGTCGAAAAGTAAGACTGAGAGTCAAAGAAAATGACATCCATAGAGACAAACCATTGGTGGGATGGAGGATGATAACACTTATAGCCCTTTTGGGTGGTAGACTAACCCAGGAAAACACATTTAAGAGACCAATGATCCAATTTACCAAGAGTAGAGGAATGATTATGGACAAAAAAAACACATCCAAAAGTCTTAGGGAAAATAAAGAACCCAAAAGACGTGGACCCAAACAAAACTTGAAGAGGGGTTTGTTTTTGAAGGACTTAGGTGGGAAGACCATTAATCAAATAAGCTACAGTGAGAACCGCTCCTCCCAATATGAGCGAGGAACACGCATTTCAAAGAATAGACAATAGGCCACATCAAGGAAATGGTGATTTTTCCGTTCTGCAATACCATTTTGTTGAGGAGTATTAGTGCAAGAAGTTTGGTGAAGAATGCTATGAGTAGCAAAATAACTGGCAAGACCAGAGTCAATATATTCCCCCTATTATCATAACGCAGAATTTTTACAACCACCTAAACTGAGTGCAAACCATTTTATGAAAGTTTTGAAACACAAAAAACACTTCACTCTTGTCTTTCAATAGATATACCCAAGAGGCCCTAGAACAATCATCAATGAAAGTAACAAACCATTTTTTACCCTTTAAAGACACACAACGGGAAGGATCCCATACATCAGAATGAATCAAAGAAAATGGAACTGGACTTTTATTAATAGAAGGAGCAAAAGAAGCTTTGTGTTGTTTTCCAAGTTGACAAGACTCACATTGAAATCAAACACATTATTTTTCTCAAAAACAAAAGGAAATAAATACTTAAGTAGGAAAAAAGAAGGATGCCCTAAGCGACGATGCCACAGCCAAAGGTCTTCCTTGGAGGATGGAAACCGAATAGATGAATGAGCCAGCTTGTCTGTCTGATCCAGAATGTGAAGACCATGTTCCTCTCTACCATTGCCAACCCTCTTCTTTATGATAAGGTCTTGAAAAAAACAATGATCAGGAAAAAACGTTACACTACAATTCAAATCACGAGTAATACGACTCAAAGATAAAAGATTAATACTAAAATTAGGAACATGGAGTACAGAGGATAAAGGAAGGGAAGAGGTAGCATGAATTAAACCTTTCCCTAACACGGAGGAAATAGTATCATCAGCAATGCACACTTTTTCCTGACGTGAGGAAGGGTTATACTCTGAGAACAAATGAGAGGAACTAGACATATGATCGGAAACACCCGAGTCAATAATCCATGGTACAGTGATATGAGATAGCAATGCACATGTTGAGGAAGCCAAGTTACCTAAATTGGCAAAGGACAAAAAGGATGCACCTGTGGAGGCTTGACGGTCCAGCAAGTGGCGAAGAGTAATCTCAAAATCAGAGGCAGATAACCTCGAAACATCAGCAACTGGTGAGACAACTGAAGATGAAGGTGGTGGCTCAATCGTGTCTGAAAGATGCACCCATGCATTAGCCCCTCGGCCTCTATACTGACTCAACCTACCCCCTCGAGTACCAGGACGGTCTCCTCGGCCACCAGAAGGAGTCCTCTGCAGCTTCCAACAAGTCTCTCTAGTGTGGCGAGGTTCATGGCAATATTCACAGAAAAGCTGATCCTTCTCAGAGAAAGGACGAGAATCACAAGTCATAAGCTCGCCATCTCGAGAGGGTGCAAAAACCAAGGCAGAGCGATTAGTAGTGGCAGGCGGAAGCATAGCAGAGCAACGACTCCTCATTCTGCACAAAAGCAAAGGCGGTGGAGAGATAGAAGTACATCCATGCCAAGTACTCTGCTCCGAATAGGATTATACTCCACATTCAGGCCTTCCAAGAATTTGAAGACCCGTTCTTTCTCCACAAATTTCAGGTAACTAGCAGAATCAGTGGGACAAATAGGCTTGTAATCCTGAAGGTGATCAAGTCGCTTCCACCTTTTGCTAAGGAAGGTAAAATATTGAAGGATAGTCATCTCACCTTGTACCGACCTCTCAATGGAGTGGCGTAACTCGAAAGCCTATGAGAAGTTTCCCTTCTTGGAGTAAGTAGTAGCTACAGCCTCCCAAATATCTTGGGCAGTGTCCATAGACAAGTAGCCCTCTCCAATCTTTGGAACCATAAAATGTATCAACCAACCCATAATCAAAGAGTTGGTAATCTCCCACTGGTCATAACGAGAGTCTGTGATACTGGGTGCCTGTTTCCTCCCATCAACATATCCCATCTTTCCTCTGCTCTTCAAGAAAATAGTCAAACTCTGCGACCATGCTAGGTAATTCTGACCATTGAATGGAGAGATGGTGATTTTAAGGCCAGGGTTGAGGGTATCAGTCATAGTGGAAGGGATAACATAATCTCGCCCTGCGATGGCTGAGTTAGTAGATTCACTAGTCAATTCCGCCATGGAGACCCCTCAAACATGATGCCAATCACAAACCCAAAAGATGAGGGTGGAGTAACAAGCACAACAGTAACTATAAAAGAAAAAAGAATTAAGAATCCAGTTTTGTTATTATTTTATTTTTTTTTGGTTTTGCTTTGGTACTGTGTTTGCTTCACCAAGTATTACATCACCAGACCACTTCGTAAGAGAAGCGACATCGTATTACATCATCAGACCTCTGCGTGAGAGAAGCGAACACACCAAGTGACCCGAGAGAGAGTGGCGACCTCAACCAGACCAGCAAGAAGGCTGGTCGACAACCTGGGAATCCTCGGCAGTGGTTGGAGAGGCTTGCCGAGGGAGAGGGAAGCCTGGGTGATGACTGTCGAAGGGAGAGAAGGGACTAGGAGACTTGGGTAGAGGCTGTCGGGGTTAGAGAAAGAAGAGAGACGAGGATGTGGGGTTAGAGGAAGGAGAGATGAGTCTGTCGTGTGGCTGTTTGGGGCTGTCGTGTGGTATACAAGAGAGAGATCACTTGTAGTGATGGGTAACAGAGAAGAAGAGTTGGCTAGGGCATGGCTCTGATACCATGTAAGTTTAAAGAAGAGAAAGTGATAAGGAATAAGTTAAACCTTATCCCCTTTTATATTGATAATAATGAGTAATTACTGGAATGCCATAAGGCATATATTATGGGCCATCCCATTACATCAATCAAGAGAAATCAAATCAAATAAGAATAAAATATTATTTCCTATTCTAACAGACTCTACAGTCTTTAGACTACATGGGTGTTGGCGGGATAACTCTGAGACCATGTCTTAATTTTCCTCTTTTTTACCTTTACCGTTATAGCCTTACCAACTACGAAGTAACTGAGCTATTGACCTCAAAAAAGTCACTAAAGCTCTAAACAGAGTCAAAAGTAGCACCCAAAACTCTCATGCCAGATCTATAATGAGGAGATGATCCCTGACTCTCCATCCTTCCTACAGACCCAACGTAGGAATCCTCCATGCACCTCCATTCACACAAAAAATCCTAACGCCTTTCCAAGAAAAATTGATCCTCGATTAACCAAGATCACCTTAAGTATTATTTACTTTGAACCTACCAAACTTGGAAACAACTCACTGAGTCTTGTCCTCTTTACCTGTCACACCACCAAATCTATACAAAGTGCCAAAAGTGTCCATCTCCTCCCAAGTCCCCTCATGGAAATCAAACACCTCTCTCTTGAAGACATCCCAATGATGAAGGATATGATGGGTAAGCGATGCTACTTGTGTATAAGATTTCAGGTCTATGCAACCAATCAAAGGACACATTTGAATTGACATTTCCATAGTGATCACAAACTTCAAGTTTAGCACCATTAGCAACAATAATCAATCTAGGATCTTGCAATGAAAACAGCACTCATGG